TCCGCTTTGGATCGGCACAGAAACAGATCCGAATGGAAGAGCAGCTCTTGGACTTTCCCTCCGTGACACAACAGAGCAGAACGACGCTCATCCGTCCTCAATGCAGACGATGAGGCTAGGAAAGCTCTTATCGACTAAATTAAGATACAGGAAGTGTTTTTAACACCATGACTTTAACCCTGAACACATCTAGAATCCAACTAACGATCAGCACATTGGTGACCAGGATGCAAAAATGGGAAGATGTTGATCATCAACCTTAGGAGGAAAAATTAAATATCATATGAGTGGTTTCATTTTGCTTTCATCCTCTGCAATCTCCCGTTTGGAGAATATAGTTTTAAAATCAGATTTTTTTGTCAACAAGTACTTTTTATTGAAAATATATCTAAATAAACTTTAAGTATGGCACTAGAATGAGCAGTAGCATATAAAGAACATACAAAGCTGTTAGTTTAGGGCCAAGTGATGTTTTGTTGTTACTGATAAACTTGCATTTTCCATGAATTCAAATGTACTTTTTCTTACAATACATTTATTTTCAGGGTTGATGGTTGAGGTGGAAATCATCAACTAACTTCCATTAGTCAACATGAATTTACAATGAAATATATATATCTAAAGTGTATAATCTTAATCTTAGTTAAGTTCAACATTTACCAATACATTATTAACATCAAATGTTGTTATCTGTTGTTAACCTGTTAATGTTCTTTAATGGACTTGAGCTAACAGTAACAATGAGCTGTTTTATTTATTTATTATTTTATCAAATAGCGTTATATTAAACAAAGATTTAAAAAATACTGTAATAAATGTATAGCTCATTTTAAGGTAACTAATGGGACCATATGGTAAATTGTTACGATGTAATTTCCTGGATGTCAGAATTATTACTATTATTATATATTTTTTTGTATATGGGGAAATCATGCAATAACAGGGATGAGCACAAAACATGGGACACTGCTAAATTATATTTTGGTAATTAAAATGAGTCAATAACTAATAAAGTTCTTAATGTAATGTACTCGATCACAATTATGACATTGTTGCATGACATTGCTGGACATACATGAGAAAGTGGAGACTGGACAAAATCCCCATTTAAAGTCTGAAAACAGACATTTGATGTTTTTACATCTAGTTACTCTTCATGTTAATGGCTTCTGAAATATATACGTCTGTTTTCAGGACAGGATCGTGGGGTCAGTGCCTGCGGCGCTGTAACGTCAGCGCTGATGATATTCTCCGGCTGACTGTGTGAGTGGACGTCAAATGGACATCAGGTCACAGCACATTGAACTAAATGAATTCAGTTAATCTCTCTGATGTTTCTCCATCCCTGGAGCCAAATTCTGACGCTAATGTTCCCCCTCAGGGTCATTTAAAGCCCTTTCAGTGCCAGCATGTCTAGTGGCACTTTACTTCTCCAGAACTCTCTGCTTTCTTCAACCAACAACCTGAATCTGAATCTCTTATTTGCTCTGACGCATCTATTTCCACTGGATTCGTCCAAAAGTCATGCGTGAGTTTTACAGCACAATAAAAAGTTTCAAAGAACATCCTGTCACTATTTACGCATCTAATGCTCCATTGTTGGTGTTTTGTTACAAAAAACACCATAAAAGCAAAAATACAAGCAGCATGTGGCTCATGCGTTATATTTCAAGTCCTCCGAAGTCACATGTTGACGTGTGACCCGAAATAAGAGCCACATTTAAGTTTTCCACTCATTATTTCCCCCTCTGCTGAAGTTCTAACATCATATGTGCATCAGGTTGGATGTCAGTTTTGAATATGGCCACAAATTTTTATGGAAAAGAGCAGCTTGAACGTTCTGCTAAACATCTCACACGCGTTTCCAGTGCATTCGTTTGGGTTTTTTGAGGCGAACCATTCTGTTAAAATGGTTTCTCTGAAGAGTACTCGGCCACCAGCAGCATTCGCGCTTCTCCATCGCAGGGACCTTTTGTTTTCTTTGATGCAGAATGCATTGTGCCTGTGACCTTGTTGGCAAATATGGGCCTGAAATCCCTGGCCAGTCTGTGAAAGGACCGAACGCATTGGTCCTAGTTCAGTGGGTGCATTCATGAATAAGACATGACCCATATCCCCACACAACACAAGCACGGCCGATTGAACACCACGTTTTTAGGGGAAGAAAAGTATGTCGGGGCTTAACCGAGGCAAAGACGCTTTAATGCAAAGCTTGTTTTTGATGCTCATGCAGTCTGCCGCAGCCTGATATCTTACGGCGGAATATGTATTAGTTTTGTGTCATTATTCATGCTCAAACGATGCTGCTTGCCCACTAGCTGAATGTGCAGTAATTACTACAACTCGGCTTCCTTCATTTATATTAATGGATAAATATCTTTTTAGGGCTTCCTGTTCATAATTATTTCCATTTAGACCGTCATTCCAGGTGAGGCTCGGAGAGAGAACAGCACACGACTCGTACTCATACTGCATTTATAGAGTATATACTGCTGTAGTGTGTGAGTTCAGATGAGACACTGCAGACGCTCTGTGTGCAATACTCAATCACACAGCGCTTTGTGCTCCACTCGACCTTCCATTCCAGTGTGACGAACGAGCCCGCCAGTCGTTTTTAATCTTCCTTGACTCATTATTGGATTGGAGAGCCCGAGTTAAGACGTTTTACATAAAATTTGATGGAGGTAAAATAATCATATCTATTCCCACCAAGGTAACTTCACATGTAATCTTTACCAAAAATCTAATTTCGAAGGATAAAAGCAATTTATTTGGTTTTAACGGCTTGGATTGTAATTAATATCTATCTTATCTCCAGGTTGTTGGGTAAAAGTTCAAATACATGTCAGATAGTTAAACTTTTGCAGACAGGTACTGCACAGGATCTGATTGGACGTACAGCATAACATAAACTTTCATCACTGAAGTCAAAAAATTACCCTTTGAAATATGCAACATACATTATTTCATCAAAGTATTTACTTAAAGACTCTTCTTGAACTAATCAAGATATTTTAGTAAAAGTATTTAATTATTAGGTCTCACACTGGCATTTCAAATGTTTTAAATGCATATTATTGCTGACAGATAGAAGAATCTATTCAGTAACATTAATCACTGTTGTTATTGTTAGGTAAAACCAAAAGTTAATTAAAACAAAAGGGTAATTGACAAAGCTGAATAAAAAAAAAAAGAAAGTCATAAAAATGACATAAATTTAAATGAAAATTTAAAATGTTTCCTTGATAACTAACTAAAATAAGCTAATGTACTTAAATTACTAAAACTATTAATTAATTAAATTAAACTATATACAAATGTTTAAAAATTCTAATAAAATTACTAAAACTATTAATTAAATTTAACAGCTATATAAATATATATATATATATATATTTTTAAATCTAATAAAATTTCTAAAACTATTATTTAAAAAAATAATAAATGAAATTAATTAAACCAATATACTTAATATTAAAGCACATAAATTGAAAAAAAAAGAAAAATTTAAATTAAATTATGAAAATATTAGCTAATTCAAAATAATAAACACTATAAATAATGATAAAATAATGAATACTATATTTAATAAATATAATATAATACTTAATAAATGCTATAAATAATACTACAATAACACTGATATATTTATAACTGAAAGCACTGATATTATGACACAATCTGGGTCAATATCATTGTGTAAATATAAAGGGGGCTAACTGTACATCTTAAAAAAGGTAATAAATTGAAGCGTATGTTTCTCAGACCCACAGATGGCAGGGAGATCTGAGAGTTATGAACGACACGTTCTGCTGTATGTCCTGTAATATCGCCCTCGGTCTCCCCTGCTGTTCACATCATATCTGTACAGACAGCAGTATATACTGCAGAGTATTCTCAACATATCCAGAGAGATTCACAGACTCCCCCCTGATTGAGTTCTGCTGCGCTGCGGTGTATGTGTGTGTGTGTGTGTGTTTGTGTGTGTCTGTGTGTGTGTGTGTGTGTGTGTGAGAGTGTGTGTGTGTGTGTGTGTGTGTTTATTGC